GATTTCCTCTCTTGTCAATAAAACCCAGAGTTTAGATTTGTTGTGAACCTTCTATAGGCTTTTTACGATTTCTGAAATCTGGACTCAACATGGTTAGCAGCTACCAAAACCCATTCTGGGATTTACAATAATACTCTTTCTAGTTTTCCATTTTTCATTTTAACTTGTTTTCCTTTAAATAAAACTTAAACGACTTAATTATAATACCATTGATTTCCAATAACTCTTTAATTTAGTATTCAAGCATGAAACAAATAATAATTTTATTTCAAATTCATAATACCAGGGCTCGGATTGTGCGACTTTTTCGACTTTTTTGTAATTTTTTAAGGAAATGATACTTTTTTCGACTATTTTGTGAAGAAATGCGACTAATCGATTTTTTCTAGATTTTCTTGATTAAAATGTGACTAATCGACTTTTTTCACATTTTTCAATTACTTTTTGACTTAAATTTTGAACAGCAGAAATCTTTTTTTGTAAATTATCTATTTATCTACTTTATCTACTAAATAATAATCTTCGTATTTCATTCTTGACAACATCGAAAATATGCAGGTATTTTTTCATGATTTATAATGGAATAATATTTGAAATTAGAAAATTATTTTTTGGATCAAACAAATAAATAAAAAAAAATAGAAAATTTTAAAAAAAATTATGATTAAGTACATTTTGTTTATTATATGCCTTTTTCTATAACAAATCTATTTTGACTGATCTAAATTATAAAAATTTTTCTCCTTTTTATTTATAAAAGTATTAAATAAAATTGTAAGTTTTAAAAAATTATGATTAAGAAACAGGAAATATACCCATGTTTCTGCATAATTTTTATTTCTCAAAAACAATATTGTTTAAAAACTCATTCTTTTCTTTTGGGAAAAGAAAAATTACATATTCCCGTTTCTTAATATTTTTCTAGAAAATTCTCAATTTTCATAAGGAAATAATTTGCATCATTTCTATCTCTTAATTACAATTGCTTTCATAAAATTCAAAGTTTTTTAAAAATAAAGGAAAAAAATGTTTATAATTTCCATCTGTCAATTACGAATTTTAATTGAAAATGAAATTGAAAGTTTTTAAATTTTAAGAAAATAAAGAAAAAAATTCTACTCAAAAAAATGTTCTGTTACATTTATTTACGAATTTCTTTAAAATTATGCGAAAACAACAATAACTTCTTTTTTAAATAAATATTTAATTATTATTATATTTCCATAGGAATTAAAATTCTTCAAAAGATTCAAATTCAAACCTTTTTGAAATTAAACAACTTAGAAAAACTTGTTATAAAACATGAAGAAATATATATATATATATATATATATATATGATATATTCATGTTTTATAATAATTAAAATTGCCCGAGTGATAAATTATTAATTTATATTATAAGAAAATTTTTACTGTAACTTCTTCAAAATTATTTTCATCATTTTAATTAAATTATTATTTTCTACAATTTTTAATTATTTTTTATAAAAATAATTGAATTCCTTAAAAAAAATGTATTAGTTTAATGGTAATTATTGCGAAGAAATTTATTAAAAAAATTGTAAATAATTGAATTCCTGTGAAATTTTCATTATTTATAAAAAGTATTAAATTTTTGGGTATGATTTTATTAAAATTTTTTTAAATAATAAAAAAATAAAAAAAAAATTTGTAAATAATAAAAAAATAAAAAAAATTTTTTTAAATAAATAATAATCAAATAAAATAATAACCGATAAATTAAAATTAAAAAAAAAATTTTTTAATTTTTTTTATTTATTTAATTTATTTTTTTTAATTAAATAATAACCGATTATTCTATTCATTTAAGTATTTTCTTGTGATAAAAAATAATTGAATTTCGGAGAAGAGTTTTAATATTTATGAATAAAATTGAATAGTTGCAAAAAATTTTATTAAAATTTTCAAAAATAATACTGAGTAGAATATTATTATTTATGAAAATAATTTAATTATTGTGAAAAATTTTGTTATTTTTGAAAATAATCGAATTCTTCATAAGATTTTTATTTTCTACAATTTTTAATTATTTTTTATGAAAATAATTGATTAAAAAATTTTATTAGCTATGGAAATAATGGAATTATTGCGAAGAAATTTATAAAAAAAATTTGTAAATAATTGAATTTCTTTGAAATTTTTAGTATTTATGAAAATTATTAAATGTTTGCCTATTATTTTATTAAAATTTTTTTAAATAATAAAAAAATTATTAATAAAAATTTTTTTTAATTAATAATAATCAAACCGATTATTCTATTCATTTAAGTAGTTCGTTGTGATAAAAAATAATTATTACGATTATAAATTATTTTTGTGTCTCATTACATTGTGAATAAAGGAATTTGTAACGTTTTGTAATGTTCTGCGTTTTTTAAAAATTTGAAAAAAATCTCAACGTACAATTAAAACTATGGAATCAAAATCCGTTGAGAAAATTTAGGAGCGACAATTATTTTAAAAGTTATAATAAAAATTATATTGCGCGGAGATGGGATTTTGATGCTTTTTAGAATTATAACACATTCCCTAAGGCCAAATAGAAATGCTTCTTCAACATTTCGATTTAAAAAAAAAAAATTTTTATTTTTAGTGAAAATTTCAAGAATTCTGACCCAACTACAAATAAAATATATAAAAATATTTTTTACATTCTACACTAAATTCTAATAATACCCCATTAACATTTTGCCATTTTTTAACAACTTTTACAATTTTATGACTCTTTTTTCGTTTTTTCTAAAATCTAATGCGACTTTTTCGGAAATTTCATGCAACTTTTTGCGACTTTTGTTGTGAATTTATGCAACTAAAGCGATTTTTTTTTTTGAGTCTTAAAGTCGATCCGAGCCCTGTAATACATGTTTGATGAGAAGAATCTAATTGAATCGTGAATTTTAAAAGGTTGTCTCGATTGTCAGTAGTAACTATACTTAGAAAAGGTTTCAAGCTTTCTTTTCTCAATATTCATATACTTTTGAAAGATGGAAGTCTTTTTTATTTATGTGAAGAAAGTTGAAGTGATCCTATGACCTCTAGATTATAATGATTATATTTCAGAAATAGGTATTTAAGATACATTTGTTCGGTTAGTGTGTTATAATAAAATAAATAGTTAGTTGAAGGCAATTAACATAAAAGTCGAATGAATCTTGTGAATATAAACACGAAGTGAGGGAATGGACGGGACAATAAAGTGGGCATTAGTCCTGTTTGATATGTCTTTCTCGCCTTGCGTGGTACGCAGCGCAGAGAAGCAGGCACATTCGAGCTAATAAATTTATTGCGGAGATTTACGTATCTTAGCCGTAAACCAGTCAACACAGACCTATAATGTCTGGTCGCTAATTACATAATTATATGGCGTTAGGTTTGCGACGACCAATTAATACAGCAGCAGCGACGTACAATTACTCCCGATGTCTGTGTACCGATCGAGTGTTGTCAGACGAAGCAGTAAGTCACCGAGCACCGATGCACGGGGACACGTCTCGTATACATTCGAGGATACCAGACGTAGGCGATACGTGTTGTTACTGGCCGATCGAGTGAGCTTTATAATTTATTGTCTTCCCTGTCGGTTGACAGCGGGCGTGTGCCACTCAGGGCCGTAACTATACTTATAGAGGCATACAATGTCTATTAACCTGCCGCCACCTTTTCCACACTCCAGGCTTTCTTTTCATTTGTGCAGAGTTTGGGATATACTTCCGAAAGCAACATAGCTCCGATTTTGGTCCAACTTTCAAAAAAATCGGAGCTATGTTGCTTTCGGAAGTGCAATCAGTGTTTGCTTTCGAAAACGATGATGACATTTGCGAACTATCCTCACGTTTCACTTTTAATCCAGAGGTGTGAAGAATTTATTTATACACTGTATATATTCTTGATAGAAAATTTGACGTGACGATGAGCATCATTGAAATGACAAGATGCGGGCATTCGCTGACTGATTTATTTAAGGGTTATACCAGACATCCGGTTTCTCAAATTACGCTCCAGAGGAAGGGAGGGAGAAAAAACTTAAGATTCGCTTTTGTCGCCTAACCGTTCGTCATTACATCGACACAAGTCACGTTCGAATATGGTCCCTCTCGGTCACTTAAAAATTCGTCCCTTAACAGGAAGTGACGTCAAAATTCTCCATTGGTCTGGAATTCATCATTTTAAGTTTTGGATCTTGGATCATTTGCTAATAATTAGATAAACTTGCTTGGCCCACTTGAACATTTTCCGACACAGTTAAAATATTAAATTATTGTAATATTATAAGTAAGAAAACTGTAAAGATTTGTTAGATGTTTAAGTTGATTGGCAGTCTCTCTGTTGAAACTCGCAACAGTTCAAACCTATCAGTTAAGTCCGTAGGGGGACACAAGTGAAGATGATATCTGTATGACAGTTCGTGGGAGTCACTGTCACTCATTATTGCTTGGCTTGCGCGTGCTTAATACAACTGAACGGATTTGGTCTCAAGATGACTGGCAGAGGTTACACGCATATTTCTTACATACATGAAAAGTTACAACTGTATGCCACAACTAATATTCGGAATTAAGAATAAAGAATCATCTGTTTTTCTAAACAGGTTCTTTAATGTTTCTCATAGTACTTACAATTAGAGAAATATTCGTAATTCAGTTAGAAACTTGCTTTTAGTGAGAGATATTTAATATTTGTTACGTATTTGACAATGCGCTATTTTTTATTTAACTCTCGTGTGAAAATTTAAAATAGGGTTTAGTAAGTCCCTCTTTGTTAATGAGGTTGTCACTGATGATGGCCTATAACAGAATGTGGGATTTAACAAGAGATAAGCTATTAGTAACTCAAATGAAAAAAAAATAATTTTCAGGAAATATTTACCCAGCTCTGATAAGATCTATAAAGAATTTAAAAGAAAGCTTACCAAGAAATATTTTACAAATAAATTCATGTAAACAAGTATAATAAACATACCTGTTATTTAATTTTACAGCGACCACCTTCTTCATCACTTTCCTACCCTGGTCCTGGAGGTAACGATGATGCACGCAGTCCCGGAAGCGGGGGAACCCCTGGCCCTCTCAGTCAACAAGCCCCCACAAGTTTGGACTCCTCCGATCCTGGTAAGTTGATAATAGTCACTTTTTCAAAAGTAGGTCACAAGATGCATGCAGGTTCAGATTTACACTGAGAAAAACATTCTTTTAATCCGAAAATAAGTAATTATTATTATTATTATAATATTAATATTATAACGTAATATTACCACTAGCCCGGCATTTTGATATCTAAGATCACTGCAAGGCTCGATCTAGGTTCGTAAATCTAGTAAATTTCCGTAAATTTCCTTAAAACCGTAAAAGTCAGTTTTTTTTTAAAAAAAGGTCCTTAAAGTCTGTAATTTGATTGAGAAAAGATGAAAAGTTTGTAAATTGTACGATATAATTTGGAGAATTTTAGAGAATATTACAAATGATTGCAGAAATTCAATTAATTTCAAAAGAAATAAAATTCTTCGCAGAAATTCAATTATGTTCAAAAATTTAGAAAATTCTCGTCTAAATTTCAATTATTTTTTAGAAATAATTCAATTCTTCTCAGAAATTCAATTATTTTCAAAAATTTTAATAAAATTCTTGGCAAAATTTCAATTATTTTCAAAAAACTTTTCTCAATTCTATGATTTTCAATATCAATTTTAATAAAATTTTGCATAAGAATTCAATTATTTAAACAAAATTAATAAAAAAAATTCTACGCAAACTTTTAATTATTTTCATAAAATAATAAAAATTTCACAGCAATTCAACTATTTACAAATTTTTTATAAATTTCTTTGCAGTCATTCAATTATTTTCATAAAAAATAAAATCTTTATAGGGATTCAATTATTTTCGTAAATAATAAACTTCTTTTTATGAATTCAATTATTTTCATAAATAGTAAAACTCATTGCAGAATTTCAATTATTTTTAATACATTTTTTAATGTATTCTTCGAAAAATGCAATTATTTATTAAAATTTTATTAAAATTCGTCAAAAGAATTCAATTATTTAAAAATTAATTGATAAAATTCTTTATGAAAATTCAAGTTTAAGAAACATTCAATGATTCAATAAATTATTTATTTTTGTATTTAAATAATTGAATTCTAGTAGAATTTTCTAATAAAAACTGATATAAGAATAGATTTGAGTTAAAATTTAAGATTATAATTGAATATTAAAAGCAATAGAACGTGAATTACTAGAAGTAATTGAATTTTGAAAAGAATTCATCAAATTAAAATTTTTGAAAATTGAATTTTTCATATTTTTTACTAACAATTGAAAATTTTCAAAGAACTTTTTTAAAAATTATTAAAAATAATGCATTTATAGAAGAATTTTAGTTAAAAAGATTTAAAAAATTTAATTTTAGAGAAGTTAAAAATTATTGCAGAAATTCAATTAATTTCAAAAGCAATAAAATTCTTCTCCGGAATTCAATTATTTTCAAAAATTTTCCCTAATTTAATGATTTTTAATATCTACTATTTTAATAAAATTTTTCAAAACAATTCAATTATTTAAAAAAAAATTTAATAAAATTCTACGCAAACCTTTAATTATTTTCGCATAAAATAATAAAAATTTTCACAGGAATTCAAATTATTTACAAATTTTTTATAAATTTCTTCGCAATTATTTAATTATTTTCATAAATAATAACATTTTTACAAGGATTCAATTATTTTAGTGAATAATAAAATTCTTTTTACAAATTCAATTATTTTCATAAATAATAAAACTCATTGCAGAATTTCAATTATTTTTAATACAATTTTAATCAAATTCCTCGAAAAATGTCATTATTTTTTAAAAATTTATTATAATTCGTTAAAAAAAATTCTTTATGAGAATTCAAGTTTAAAAAACATTCAATTATTTAATAAATTATTTATTTTTGTATTTAAATAATTAAATTCTAGTAGAATTTTCTAACAAAAATTGGTTTAAAAATTAATTTTAATTAAAAATTTAGATTATAATTGAATATTAAAAGCATTAAAGCCCGAATTTTTAGAAATAATTGAGTTTTGAAAATGTTTCAAGAATTAAAATCTTTGCAAATCTGAATTTTTCATATTTTTAACTAACAATTATGTGTAATTAATTTTTTTTTGAGAAAGTTTAATTGCTGATTTTTTTAAAAATTATTTTAAGTTTTTATTTTTAAATTTTCTAATTTCAATTATTCGTAAATTCTTCAATATTATTTAATATTGAAATTGTTGAAATTTTATAAAATTGAATTGTAAACAAATGAATTTGAAAATTTTCAAAGAACTTTTTCAAAGATTATTAAAATTAATGCATTATTTATAGAAGAATTTTAGTTAAAAATAAGAAAAAAAAAATTAATTTTGGAAAAGTTATACAAATTATTGCAGAAATTCAATTATATTTTCAAGAGTAATAATATTCTTCGCAAGAATTAAATATTGTTCAAAAATAATAAAATTCTTTTTAGGAATTTAATTATTTTCACAAATAATAATAATTATTGCAGAATTTCAATTATTTTGAATTCCATTTTATTTGGAATTTCTCGAAAAATGTAATTATTCTTAAAAATTTTATTAAAATTCGTCGAAAGAATTCAATTATTTAAAAATTTTGTTGATAAAATTCTTTATGAGAATTGAATTTTAAGAAACATTGAATTATTCAATAAATTATTTATTTTCGTGATTAAATAATTTTTAAATATTTTCACTGGTTCGAGCCCTGTCACTGTAATATTATGAATCTCCAATGTAATATTACAGTGCAATATCAAGATAATATTACGCGCTGCTTGAGGCGAAACCAGGAAACAAGCTTTAATTTTTTTCAACAATTAATTTGACATTAAATTTGATTAAGTTGACATTATTGATTATTTTATTAAAAAATGTAGGAACTATATAATTGTTCTTTGAAGAGAGAAAGAGTTGCCATTTTATATTTATTACGTAATGCATGAGGTTATTACATTGGTGAAGAATATTTAAAAATTTTTTTGTCATGAGCTTAGTGGAATGAGTTAGGGGATCAGAAATTGATCTCTGTTGTGTTTGATATTGAATGAAAAAAAGTAAACTTGTGTGGAGTGCTTGGCGACGTCGTTCGCTAATGACAATATCACGCGACAATCGAGTTGATGACAATCAAGATGCAGGGTGGGACCCACGGACCTTCAACACACCCTTCCAAATTTACAAACACAGACATACATGTCAACACCGACCGCGGCAAAGACACTGTCGAGCCTAATGAGCGAAATGTCCCAATGGCGTCGGCAAAACGAATTCTTTCATCTTTTTTGTTTAAACGTCAAAAAGGAATAATGGAAAACAAAAGCCTGTAGATAAATAGTAAACTTTATTTTACATCGAAAATTCCTCTCATTATTTCGTATTTTCAATTACATTTCGAGAGAAATGACTACTTTTATTATTGATTACTTACACATTTAGTTTATTAATTTCTTTCGATTCTTTTCGGAATCTTTGAAGAACTTCCGGGAAATGTGAATTTCACTTTGTCCACATTTTAGGCTTTTTCGTTCAGAGAAAAACATTTTACTAAAAATAAAACAAAGTAAAGATAATTATTTATTTTAGATGAGTTTAATAATAAAAAAAAGAGGAAAATTAAAAAAGGATTTATCGGCATTAATCCAGTGAACTTTTTCACGTGGGTTTATTCATTTGAACGAGAAAAGGTGTAGTTTCGTGGCATGGATTTGCAACACTTGACTAAGTTGGGAATGAAAATGCGCCAATGGGCAATGTAGTTGAAGGAATACATACAAGTTCACGACACCATCCCATAAAGATTCATTAAGGTCCGTCGTCTATATTCGCTGTCGTGCCAACATTATAAAATTCATGGCTCTTCTCTCAGCTGTAAATGCATTCATTCCAATCACTGCCTAAACTATATTTAGCAGAAACAGTAAAAAATTGATGAGTAAACATATATATATATATATATATATATGAATATAAGAAAAAATAATTTATTTATACCTTAACAAATTGCCAAATTTAGTTACTACAGTCTTTGCACTCGATAATTAATTTTACAAAAGTAGCAAAAAGTAGCTTTCAAACTAAAAAAAGGTAGTAAAAAAGTAGCTATTGAAAAATTAAACTTGACCACAAAGCACCAAAAAAACTCGTTTTAGACACTTCATCAAAACTGACAAAAATTTCATTCTATATTTTATTTTTATGACATTTTCATAAAAAATATTTACCTCTCTCTTATCCTGCTAATAAATAGAATTCCTGCAACGTATTTTATTATTCATGAAATAAATTGAATTCTTACGAAAATTTTTACAAACATTTTTTTTAACCTTTAAACTGCTATGCCTGTCTGACAGAACGCTACAAAAATTGTCTTTGCTTATAACTTTTTTTCAAAGTATAATAAGAACTTGAGCTTTTCAGTAGCTTCATATTTTATAAAAATCTATTAGTTGACAACTTTTTCAAAAAAAAATTTTTTTTTCAAAATCGTTAAATTTTGAATTGTAACGTGTAAAAATAAAAAAAATTGAATCAAAATAATATAGAAATGACTTTTTTATGTTAAAAAGTAAAAAATATTTACAATAGTTGTCTTTAGAAAATTATAAATTACTAAAAAACCGTAAAAAAGGGAATAGCGGTCTGACAGACCGGGGGTAGCACTGAGCGTGATTTTTTAATAGCACGTAGCAGTTTAAAGGTTACTAATTGCATTCTGTTTGAAAATTTTATAGAAATAGTTGATATTGAAAAATTATTGAATTACGAAAAGTTTTTAAAAATAATTAAATTTTACAAAGAAATTCTATTAAAATATTTGAGAATAATTGAATGTCTGTGTGGTATTTTATTAAATTTTTTTTGAAAATAATTGAATTCCTAAAAAGCATTTTATTATTTATGAAAATAATTGAATTCCTAAAAAGCATTTTATTATTTATGAAAATAATTGAATTCTTGCGAATGATTTTATTAGAATTTTTTGAAATAATTGAATTTACAAGAAAAAATTTAATACTTTTCAAAATAATTGAATTTTGCAAAGAATTTTATTAAAATG